TCAGTCAGAGCCATAAACATTGCCAGAACATTCTTTCTATATTGTGGCTTAACGTATTTTTATGACTGGACTGTGGCAAACGTGCAGAGAACTTGACAGGGGACTAGCTGGCTTCACTCACCTTCGGTGTCCAAGTCCACGGCCAGGTTCTGGAATATGTCCATGTGAGCCGAGTGGGTGATCGTGCTCATTGAAGGTGTGCTGCCCTTGTTGTGGATGTGTGCAATGGCCTGAGTCCCCACATAGAGCACCAGTGCATTGATGAGCTGGAGGTTGTAGCGATTGCCAGGCTCATTGGATACCTTAAATGAGCAAAACAGAAAGCTCCTGACTTATTCTCAGAGGATTGATTCAGGCACCAGTATCTCTAAATCCTTTTTGTGCCTTCACAGAAAAGCTGGACTGCTCTCAATGTTCTTTATGATACGAATTTTAGAAATTTTCCTGAGTTTGTTGAAGTTATTTAATACACAGCTGCCCAAGGATACTAGCTGTGTCAACAACAAACATGATTTCTCTTAAGAAGCCAAAGCTTTACCAGATACCAGCACAAAAGCAAACCTTAGGAAGTCGAAGTAAGCACTATCTCAAGTATAAAAAATATTTGGAGGGGAAAAGTAGTGGTTCCTTGGCGCGGAAAGACTGGAAAGGCAAAACAACTTCAAGTCATTTTCTATACAGCAAATCAAACCATTTCTTTAGAAAAATCTTGGAATACTGACAGGAAATGATAATCAACAGTATATTCTTACAGGAAATCAGTGCATTCTCTGGTCCAAGGTTACTAAGCTTTGTGTCACTAGTAAGACAAACTAGTTAAAAATGTATAATCCAGTTAATCTCATCCAACCATTAGTAATGACAGTGTGTTTTAAAATTTTTTGATCAGGTTGAAAAGACTAACTCCCAAACAGGACACACACAGGACTCTGCATGAAAAAGTGCTTTCTATGAAAAACATAGCTGAGAGTTAAGCCAAATCAATTAACCTGTAGGTTGCTGCGCAGATCAGATAGAAAAGTGACTGGTGATCGAGTTTTAAGATAGGAATCCAAATCCTTTTTGAACTGAGGTGGCATCACTCCAGTAAAGTTGGTGAGAATCCGGGGTGCAATGTTAATTTCACTCAACATATCCACCTGCCACAAACGAATACAAGAATCACAACCAGAAGCATTTGTAGGAGCTAACAGCAAATTGTATCTATGCTAGCAAGTGGTAAAATTATTTTTCTAAAACTACACATTATAAATTTCTTAAACAACAGAGCAACTTTTTATCAATCTTTAGTCAAAAGAGTTTGTACACAAAATGACAGTAATCTCTCATTTATGGTTTCTCTCTAAAATAAGTCAGGTTTAGGTACTTTTGTGAAGAGGTGTCTAACGTGCACCACTAATCATTTTTTTCCTGGACTTGGATTTCAAAATAGAGTCCATAATGAGATTCCTCACTCACCAAGAGACCTAAGCTTGGAAAAGATGCCCCAGCAGAATAAGACAATATCATATTTGCTCGTTTTAAAAACATTAAAGTGAAAGAAAAATAGAAAATACATAAGAATTACAGTACCCATGTCAGGTATGATTTTTAAGTGGTCCCTTTCCTCCTTTACTTGAATTTAAACAAAACACAATCACACACATACAAAACACCTGTGAAATACGGGCATTACAAAGGCCTTTTTCTGCAATTCTGTGCCATTGTGGCCACCTAGCAAATGACTGGCCTGACACCTAGGTTGAGGTTCTGTAATATAGCGAAAATTTAATATCAAAATTAATTGAAAATAAACTAGACAAATACTGGGAACCAATATTGAGCAACAAAATCACCCTGAAGGCTTAATAACATGACTGCTTCCCCCAGAGAGCACCCTTACCTAACAAATAACTTGTAAGTCTGAATGCTGGGGCAAGCGGGGTTAAACCACATAACCAGAGAAAGGACTAAAATATTATTAAGACATAACTTTCTTTTCCTTGAACTATTTTAAACTTTACCTTCAGATTAGGAGTAAAGGGGTCTGGGAGCCTCATGTTTCTTGGGAAGGCACTCAGGATCAGATTTCTTAGCTGAATACAGTTAGGTGGGATCACATCACAGAATCCATAATGGTAATCACAAAGGAACTCAGGGAAATCATGCAAAAGAACCAGCAGCACTCTTAAAGTGCCCTGTTTTTTTAAAAAGAGAAAAACATTGGCTGATTCCACACTAAGTAATAAAATAGGAATAATATTTTTACTATTATGACTTTAACGCAAGTAAAAAAGGCAAAAAGTGTACTTCAATAACAGCTGCAGGCTTTAACCACAACTAACAATAAAATCACAAGAGATTTATCAAAATATTTACATCTGCAAATCAGAAAAAAACTAGGTATGAGTTTATAACCTTAAATACATAAGCTAGAATACGTTAGACAAAAACAAAAAATAAAAATGAAATAAGCTTTTTTCTTCAGAAATTGGAAATGTAACAGCTAATGAAAACCAAAGAAAGAAGAGCAAAAATCAATTTTAAAAAAATAAGTACTGAAGTGTGTGTGGGTGGGAAGCAATCAAAGTTGTAAGTTGGTTCTTTGAAAAGGTTAATAATACTGATAAACCCTGCCACGACTGACAGGGAAAATACAATGCCAATATCAGGAATGAAAAAGGACCATCACTACAGATCCTACAGGCATGAAAAATAGTTCGAGACTATTAAACAATTTTATGCTAGTAAATTTGACAATTCAGATAAAATATACAAATTGAAACATACAATTTACCAAACCCAAACAACAAAAAAAGAAAATCTGAATAGTCCGTTATAACAAAGAAGTTAAACATATTGTTAAAACCCTTCCCACAAAGAAACTCCAGGCCTCAATGGCTTTATTGGCAAATCTTTACAAATATTTAAGAAAATATTAACACCATTTTCACAATCGTACAAAAATAGAATATTTTCTAACTCTGCATACCACTGATACCAAAACTTGGTATGAAAATTATTCAAAAATCCTAAATATTAGAAATATAAATCAGTCCTATATCCTGACCAGATGGTCCTGGAATGCAGTGGTGGTTTAAGCATTTAAAAATTAATCGATTTACAACATTAACAGAAAACATTCAATAAAATACCCATTTAATGATTTAGAAAGTCTCAGCAAATTATGACTAGAAAGGCATTTCCTTAATCATTATCTGATTAGATAACTATAGATTTTAAAAAACATTACACTTAGTGGTGAATACTGAAAGCTTTCCCCAAGATCATTACTGAAACAAGCATGCTATTATCACTATCTTCTATTCCCCAAAGTCCTGGAGTTACCGGCCAGTGCAATAAGGAAAGAAAAGCAAAAAAAAAAAAACTAGTTACAGGTTCGAAATGATTGTGTATATAGAATATACTCCTCCCTGCCAAATATACAGATAAACTCTCAGAAAATGTAAATTTAGGAAGGTGGCTAGAGACAAGGCAAATATACAAAATAAATTTTATTTCTATATGCCACCAACAAATAAATGAAAAATCTTAAAAGATTATCTTTTATAACTTCAGAAAAACCATCACATATGGAGGACTAAGTTTAAGGAAAGATGATCAACACCTTTATGCTAAAAACTACAAGCACTGCAGAGTAAAAGCCTAACTCAATGGACATATACATGTTTATGGATTGAAACACTCAATATTAAGATGTCTGTTCTCTCCAAATTGATCTACAGATTCAGTACAATCTCAATATAAATTCCAGCATGTTTTTAGAGGTGAAGCTCACTGCAAAGCTTTTAGGGAAATGCAAATGGTACAGAACAGCCAAAACAATGTTAAAAGAGAGCAAAGCTGGAGAGAACTTGTACTGGCCTAAGTATAGATCAACTAGAGAGTTATCCATAAATATGTAGTCAATTATTTTAACTCAGGTGCCAAATCAATTCAATAGAAAATGAAGGACTTAACAAATGGGGATGAAAAGCCTTATATATGTATTGTGGTTGGGGGACAGGGGTATAAGAAAGGGGGAGAAAACGTATCCCACCATTCATAAAAACCAGTTTTAGATAGATCACAGACCTAAATGTGAAAGCCATAAGTATATGGCCTCTTGGGCAGGGGCAGGGCGCTCACAAAACAGAATGCAACTTGGGACTGGCCAATTTTTTACACAAAACACAAAAAGCATTTAATAAGAGTAAAAAAATTGATAATTTTGATGTTAAATTTAAAACATCCTTTCCTCAATAGAGTGAAGTGAAAAGACAAGCCACAAGAGTGAGATGTTTAAAAATGTATCAACAAATGGCTTTCATTCAGAGTGTAAAGAATTCCTATCAAAACTAAGAAAAATGCAGATAACCCAAACAGAAATATGAGCATAAAACAGGAATAGGAACATCACAAATGGAGAATATCCAAATGGCCAATCTACACATAAAAACCTCATTAAGAAATCAAGGAAATGCAAATTAAATCCACAATGAGATCCTACTGTGTACAATGGCCCAAAAGGGGCTAAAATGAAAAACAGACAATACCAGGTATGAAAAGGATGTGAAAAAATAGTAACTAAAGTGCTGCTAGAAGAATTAACTGGTATTACATTTTGTTACGACTGGTAATATCTACTGAAGTTGAACATATGAATACCCTATGATCGAGTGCTGGTTATGCAAGTAGGTTTCATTTTTGTACTTTTCTAAATATGTTATGCTTCAAAAGCTTAATAACAAGACAGGTATTAGCCTCATATTCTCAGTTGAAAGTAGTATTTTTTTAAGTGTTTCAGTTTTAATTATTTTTATATATAACTCCAAATTAATTACCTTGTAGAGGATTTGCATAGGTTTGGTGAGTTCCACATTTCTAAGGAAAGGTGCTAAATATCTGAATAAATCAATCAGTAGCTGTGCATACATAGGCCATCCCTGAAAGAAAGAAATGTACATGAGTCATACTCAGCTGCTATTCTGCCACCAAAAAAGTTACACAAGCAGCTACATTGTGACTTCATAAATATAACTAGAGAATACTGACATAGTACCTCTCAAAGACTCACTGGCATTAAAAGGGAACACACATAATTATGGAGATAGTGGGAAATGATATTTGAAACAAACTTGCTCCAGAAATTCCAAGACATACAGGTCCTTGTGCCTGTACCAAAATTTAAAGAACAGGAGGGGGGGAAATAAGGAAATTTCAGACAGACACGAAACACTTAGCCTACTAAGAAACTGGCAACTAGGTCTGTTTTCTTAATTCCTTGTTTTAATTAAGTCCTGGGTCTCAACCCTATCTTTTCCCACTCACAGCTCCTCAGCTCCAGCCTGCTAACCACCCCCGAATTATAATAATTATGTTCATTCTTGGGTAATTTTATTCAATACATTGTGTTGCTCCTCCTACGATGCACTTCTCCACCAAACAAAACTAATTCCATTTAAGGATTATTTCACTTTCTTTTTTGCAAAACACGTAGTAGTCACATTTTCTTCTGATCTGAAAGGGCCAATTAAGGGTATTTTCTACAGTAGTCATTTAGTTGCAAGATAGATAGGAGAAAAACTTGTCATGTTAACTGTGCTTGTTCTTAATTACACTAATTACTCTTTACTAGAACTTGGTCCTAATTTCAAGTACAGTGACCAGTGTTCCTCAACCTTGAGTGTGAGAGCCTGTAGCATTCAGAGTGGGAAACTGTAAAGCTGGAGGTTCCAGAGCTCCATTACCCAGAGTTTTACATAGATGTCTACAGAGGTGAGCCAAGCTTTCAACTTTTTTAAAAAAGCCCTTAAGAGACTGACATAGGCGGCACACAACAGACTTGGAGAAGCAATACCCTAATCACTGAGGAATGGATCAGGCAGAGGAGAGGCAGTCAAGTACTTGTTAAGCCTCTCTCCATGACTTGACTCCATGTTCAATGGAAGAATTCCCAACTAAGCCTGGAAGAAGTATAATTACTATTAAGTGACTAATAGTGCTAAGAAGCCCCAGGTAGTTACAGTCTTCATCTGTAGGAGATAAACTGCAGCCACACCTTCTGCTGTGGCGTATGTGCCAGCATTCTTGCAATAAATATCCGATGGGAGATCAGTTCAAGCCAGGCATACACAAAGCCAGGAGCTTTGGTAGGCCTCAAGATGTGGAATGTATTGCTGAAAGAAGAAAACCTTTATCAGGAGCAAAGTATAACAAATATAGTGAACACATGAATATAAGTAAGTAGACAACATGCAAGCTATGTTATGAATAAATATGCCTAAAATCCATAAGAGTTCTACTTCTCAAATTTTGCTACATTAAAACAGCAATCTTTATCGGAAAATCTATTAAATTCAAAACTACTTACCAGAAAGCTGTAAGTGTCTGGAAATTAATGGTTTCCAATACATGCTCAGGAGCATTGAGTTCCAAGAGCAGCATGATAAAAATTCGATGGTAGGGAAGCTGCTGAAACTCACTTTGCCGAACGTCATGGTCCTGTAGGAGAACGCCCACTACTATACCAAGGACCTATGGAGCACACAGATTACAGCTTGTAAATCACGAAGATAATTCACTTACCACTCTCGTCATGCTTTTTTACCCTGCATTCTTAAGCTCCACTTTACAGGAAAGGATATATACCATTTGAATACAAAATTATATGCTGACAGCCAAAGGAGCCCATACAGATTTCATCTGCAGTTTTGTGTGTTTTCTTTGAATTTCAATATCCTTCAACCAGACATGTATATGCTCCACAGAAGCCCAGTGGTTTTACTAAGCTCTAGAAATCAACATGGCACATCATATTTTACCATGTTAATACTACCTGATGACCTGACTTTTCTGGTCAATTTTTTGACATGAAGTTGTCAAGAAGAGAACAGTTTATACTTCTCTTGTCATTTAATAGATGGGGGGCCAGGGAAGCTGTTAGGCTGCAGAAATGTCTCATACAAAGAACTGTCTTGTATTCCACTTGATTTTCCCATTTAACTGTGAGGAATGTGATAACCTACTTGTAATTACTCAAGACCAAACTCGAAGTTCACTTTTGCACTATTTTAGTATTTAAATTTCCAAGAATTCCACTGTATAAATCAAAAGAAAACTGTACTTTGTTCCTTTGCAGAAAAATCAAGACAAAGACTGTAATGTCACTCATGGCGTTTGAGTTGCCAATCTCTTATTAGTGAACATATCTAGCCATCCCATACAGTGATTCTGTGTATAAGGGCAAGTATCTTCTAGCAGAGTCAACACCAAACATTAACGTGCTAAAATGCATTGTACTGTGGGGTTGGGTCTTTTAGTTAAGGCATCATACTCTTCTAAAATTTGGTGATTATGTTTATATATTATCTATGAATTTAATTTCAATACAGCAAGGGGGGTGTTAACAAGATCTTTTGGGAGAGGGGTTGGGTAGGGGCCTTACAGTTTAGAAACACTGGTGCAGTGCACCAAGACTGAGGCAAGGAAGGATGTCAGACCTTGTTCAGCAGATTAATCTTTGTGACAGTGTTGGTGGCCTCCCCTGAGTGCTTCACTAGCAATGCAATGAGTCGGACAAAGGCATCCAAGTTGTGATAGCACTTGGCTCGGATCATGGTGGGATTAGCAGCAGGATTGTGCTGCTGCTCTGCCTGAGCACGGTAACTGATTTCAACACACATTTCAGTACACAGACGAAAGAACCTTGTTATGAGGTCATCAGTCTTCAGGATTCCTTGCTGGTGCATCTACCAAGAGAACAAAAATATATAAAGACACAATGAGATAATATACAGATAAACTTTTTCATGTTTAAGAAATATTCTCTCATTTATTCCTGTCATATTTCCAATTTTTACTTTGTAAAAAAGCTGTCATGAAAATGACTTGTCCGTTAAAGAACCATGACAGAATTCCTTTAGTTTTAAGTTTAACGGAAAACGGAGAAGATGGAAATTGAGAAAGAGGTAACAATACTGCAATTTTGAACAGTCCGCAGCCAAATAATATGGAAAATTATGCAAATCAAACCAACTTTTAGTAATTCAAAGTCATATTAAGACATTTTGTCCAAGGTGTATTTCCCCCAAGGAGGAGATTAAATTATTTTACTTTCTCACAGAATTTAAGATAATTTCTTCCAACTTACTTAACCAATACCCAAGTTTTTGAAACTCCAACTAGCTGTGCCAGGAAAATCAGGTAATACTGTATAAGTAGATACCCAATGAAAATACCCATAGATCATTACCAACTATTTTAATGTAAATTAAGTAAAAATAAAGTGGAATGGGCAAGTTTATTTTTGTAAAAAGGATAAAGTACAAATTTTATGACATATGATCTGAAGTGAAGCAGAGCAGAGAAATTATTTGGCTAGTACAAAAGGAAAAGACATGGTAACGAACATTAAGGCTGCAGAAGGAGGGAGTCAGTGCTTACTAAACAAAGAAACCAAGCCCAGGATGAAACTTAGCCCAGGATTATCTTGGAAACTTAATTTAATGTCCCTTAATAAGCAATAAAACAGCTGAATTGACAATTGGCTTGTAACCTAGCCAAGACAGAGGCCAGCAAAGGGACTTCCAGTACATTGAAATCTGAAAAATTAACAGGGGAGAGGAAACGAGGACCAACTTCTGTGATCAAGATGGAGCACGAGGAGGAAAGAAAGAATTCTCCAAAGATGCAAAAGAGAAAAGTGTAATACATTATCTTTCAACTGGAGAGAAGAAATGAGAATTAATAAGCCAGCAGGAAGAGCTGAGACAGCTGCCACATCCATACCCATGAAATACCGATGATCACAAAACCAATTGACTCAAAATTCTTCCATCCAAATCAAACTATAAACATGCATTAACAGCTTTTCAATAGTTATGTTTTATAATTCCCTGTATTCTTTAGGGGAGAAACTTAGTATGATTTACTAAGTAACATTCATCTTGAAAAGTAAATCCAATTTCTAACAACTTCTAAAATTCAAATCAGCTCTTCCACCACATTCAATTGTCATTTATTTTATAACAGATTTAATTTATAATTTTCTTTGGTGCACACCTAGAGCTTTGGGTCTGTTTGAAGAAATATAATGGTAAATCTACAGAAATAAGCAGATATCTCTCCCTGAACAAACATTACAACAGACCCAATAAAGGAATTCTAAGCGCAGTTCAGGAAAAGCACCACTCTGTCAGCCAAGTATGATCAGCACACACTGACTACTAGATCTGAATCCCTTAGTGGATGGGCGCAGCCAGTGACGCTCAAAACAGAACGCTAAATGGCACCATGAGTCTCTTTCTACGTTGTTTTCTATTTATCCTGTTCAGAGATATTCCTGCCAAACCTAGATTTTCAGCAGGAGACTTGTTTCCTAACACTTTAACTCAAAGTTCAAATTGAATGAAAATAAATACTGGAAACTATTTCCCAAAAAGAACATGTTAATCAGTTTTAAGTAGATAAGCTACTTAATTTAGAAAATACAATAAAAAGCTCTACCATTTAAATATTTAAGTTTTTTGTTTTGTTGTGTTTATTTTTTAAACATGGGCTATTAGAACTTTACTTATTAGCCCATAATCCCATCAATGCTATTATCAAGATGGTGAAATTACTATAGATACCTGGCAATTTCATTCTTCATTATCTGACCCATTTTATTTTGAGGCTGTGACAATTGAAATAGGAAAACTAGAACTAAAGGGGGATGACGAGGAATATTGGCTTTACTGCTTAGTGACCAATGATGAGGAAGCAAATAAGCTGTATCAATTTAACAGGGTAATGATGATGACATTTTTGGTTTACATGAGTATGGAGGTAACTGACCACAGGTACATAATACTGAACTTTAATATTGGAGGAATCACACCCTACTTATGTTGAATAAAAAGCACCTTTCTTTCCAAAAGCTCTACCTGTCCAACAAACGCAGAGAAAGCTTTGGTACTGTCACGGCCAGCTGCTGCTGAATGGTAGAGATTCACCCATTCCCTCAGAAGATACTCTGCCTTCTCCCTCAGGCCTGGAGGATCATCGTACTCTGAGGCTTGAGAGATCCCAGAATGCATCATAAAGTTAGGGCCTCCATGAGCACGATCAATCATTGCTTCATAGTTGGATCGCACTACTTCCATCAGCTGGGGCAATCTAGTACAATAAATCCAGAGTGAAAATCAGTCTACTCATGGTGTGATTTCAGACAATACAACTGGACAATTTGCTTATTAGAAACCACAAGATTGATGATCACTTTACCATTTCCATATTTAAACAAAACTATCCTTTGTCTCTTAATATCTGGTTTATTCATGAGGACATAATATGCAAATGACTGACCTCAGTTAAGCCACTTTTTGGCCAAAAAATGGTGCCCATTGCAATGGAGCTGATGTTTACAGTAAACAAGTATTCACTGCACGCCTATACTATATGCCATTGTTTTTGTTATTTAATTCTCAACAGTTCTTTGATATTAGTTCCACTTTATATAAGAAACAGGCTTACAGAGGTATATCAACTTGCTGAAAATCAGGGATTTTAAGTGGCAGAGCCAGGGATTAAACAGATGACTGACATCAAGTCTAATACTATATCTACTGCTCTACAGCAAGAAGACTCAGCTGTTAGTTAAGCTTTCATACTTCAGGGGACAGTTATTAGGTCTCACTAAAGCTTCCCATATGCTGTAGGTAAAGCAGTTATAACAGGTAATGTTAGTAAGTCTGCACATTCATTTCTAAAGCTCTTAGACTGCAGTATACACATGAATCCCAAGCATTTTCATCCTCACCCTTCTGGAGCATTGCCTCTGGAGTGAGCATTAATTCTCATGAGGGTTTCAATGGTGTGGAACAGATCTGCCTCAGTAATATGGGCAACACTCCTTTCATCCACCAGCAGGATTTTTACCAATTGCATAGCAAATGCCACAGCCATGTAGTTTAAACCATTCTCCATTGACTGCCAACACAGAAAGCACAATATAAAAAAGACAACGGTTATAGCAAACATTTCCCAACTTCCAGAGTCCCTTTTCCTGTTTAAGTAAACCCCTTCCATACCTGAGCCAGGTGAAGATCATACTGCTGCATATTAACCAAATGATTGCGAATTAACAACTCCACTGCCTCCACATTATATTTATATTCATCCCGACATTCAATTAGGCACCTAGAAAAAGACAATTAGGCACCTAGTGTTTCTTTATTCAGATAGGCTTATCCATACTGTATCAAGTAAAATAAAGAGCCCGTTTTAGTCAATGGTAATTCATTCCAAATTAAGGATGTCTTGAGAAGCAACTGCAAATCAATATCCAAGATTCAAAATAGCGAGTAATGAAGGACAGCCCAGTCTTAAAACTCAAGCTTTGCCCTCAAAGCCTAGACAAGAACATTTCATTTGACATTAAAATGTTAAAAATTTTTTTAATTAAAAAAAGACATTAAAATGTTTATATATGAACACCACTGCTATAAAATCTGTGAAGCCTTTTTAAACCAATGATCTACAATTTACTCCCCAAAGCAAGGTATGGATTTTCTGTATTCGTCATGAGTACCAGAGGGAAAAGACAACCATTCAACAATTAGGAATTTTAAATGTCCCATTCATCTTCCAGAAAAAAGGGAAACCTCCAGACCTAAATAGGGCCGTGTATGTCAGAAGGCAGTCCAGTAAGTATTTTTATTCTAAGATGGCAAATGACCTTGTGATCTGTTTGTTACACCACGGAGATCCATATGCCCGGCCATCTTGAAGAGCTTTTAAGACCAAGAGGTGGCATTCCCTGTAGCGCAGCAGTAGGTCAGCATCAGCACCACTTGTGGCATCTAGTAAGCCCTCTACAGCCTGTGGAAGAAAAAAGTGTTCAGAACCATGGAAAATATAGAACTCGGCCCAACTATCAAAGACAAAAAACAAATCTTAATGCAAACTTCTAAGGCCTTGAGTTACTCTCCACTCACCCAAACTCTTTTTATTTACCTAACACACACACTCTCTAAGTTCTATCTAGTTTATGCTCACTCTACGTTCTTCACTGTCATAAACGGCTCCACTGTCCCTCAGTCAAAATCCACCTACCCCGCACCTCATTAACCAAGTACTTGGATTAACCTGTCGCTCAAAATCTGAAGGGCTCTTTTTAAAGTTTCTTAATCATATTCCCAGAGAATCTTACCTTAATAGAAAAAAATTTTTTCTCACTTTATCATTTCTAACTACCATGACTATATTCTACTCTGGAGTAAAATCACCTGCTTATTACAGTACTGAACCTGCTTTATATTAATTTTTAAAATCTTAAACATAATTTAATAGATGATAGCACAGGTCACTGTTGTTTACAAACCTAGTTTCTTCTAAAAGTAACAGTTTAAGAACTAACCTTCTGGAGCAATCCAAGAGCAGCTATGGCATCCCGAGAATTTCGAGATAATACTACAACCTCCAAAAGACTTCTAAGGGCCTGAGCTTGAGGATTCATGGCCAAAGTTGGTGGGATGGCATGTAGGTGCTGCTCCAGTTCCGTAATGCACTTATCATAAATTTGAGCTACATCATCTGTTGCCCAAGCTTGCTGTTTTAGAGAAGGAAACAACCAATAAAAAGAGAAGCAAAAATTGTAAAGATTTTTTCCACTGGTACATGTAAAAATTGAAAAAGTCTGTTGCTATGTTTCCTCCCCTTATTTTTTCATCAAAATATGGAAAGGCTCTTCCATTCCCCTTTCTGAACTATGCCATTTGATAGGATACTGCAAGGTAGGCATGGGTAGAGGGGTATTTCATTTAATAGTGGAAACCAACACAATCAAGTGATCAAAGAGAACATGATAAATAATGGAATAGGCGGAGGACAGCATCACTTGTGGCATCTAATAATCTCTCTACAGCCTATGGCCATGGAAAACATAGTACTCAGTCCAATTGTCAAAGCCTGATAGGAACGAAGTAAGAACACAGCATCATTTCTAAGATATTCCTATCAAAGATATACTAACCTGAATCTATTCATGAGAACATTTCGGACAAACCCAAATTAGCCCATTCTAGAAAATAACTGGCTTATACTCTGCAAAAGTATCAAGGTAAAAAAAAGAAAGAAAGAAAAAAATAAAAAATGAGGCACTATACGAGACTGACCTGAGGGAAATTTTAAAAATATGACAACTAAATGAAATGTGAGAACTGAAACAAGTCCTTTTACTATGAAAAGATATTATTGGGACACTTAGTAAAACCTGAACGAGGTCTAAGGATGAGATGGTATTAACATATCAGTGTTGAATTCCTGATCTCAATGTTTGTACTATAGTGACATAAGAGAATGTCTCTGTAGGAAAAATAGAACGAAAGACTCTAAAGTGACTGGGACATCACGGTCAGCCGCTTATGTTCAAATGATTCAGTGGCAAAATATTTCGCCTTACAATTTCAACTTTTCTGTAAATAATTGTTTCAAATTTTTAGGAAATCTTTCTACCAAGAAAACAAAAACAAAAACAGGGAAGCCATGTAAATTCCTCTAATTGGGACAAACATAAAAGTTAAATAAACCTCACGGATATAAAAAAAAATTCCCCTGTATGCCATGCTGACAAAAACTGTGGGTAATTTTTTCCCCTTTAACTTAAGCTCCCAGGAAGCAAGTAACAGAGTAACTGACAAAATATTCAAATTAAACGGTAAAACTCAATTCAATCCAAAGAAAGTATTTACCTTCATGGGCTGAGCTAAAAATCCTGTGGGCTGACTTAAATCATTCGTGGGCAAGAAGCCAGGTACATTGCGTGCAAATTCTTCATAAACAGCCAGCTGCTTTGGATCCACACCACCAACCTTGGAAAAAGAAAACCTATTTTGACAGGATCCTCTTCACAATCAAAGGAAATTTTTTTTGAAAATGTAAAGTTTGCATGGAAGGAAGCAAAGGGGTTCTGAGAAGGGACACAAGCATCAGTACAGTGTGTAACAGCATGACTGAATATGCATGTGGGTTGCACACAAACACAGTGTTTCACATTTCCCTGAATCCTGTCAGTCACTCTCATCTATAAATTAAGAACTTTTCCACTGGAAAATGCCTCAAATAGGACCATACCAGTGCAATTCTCCAATGGAACTGGTAAAAATGACCATCTTCTTGTCCCAATAAACAACTAACAATAAAAACACAAGTATCAGAAAGGAAGACCAAGTTGGGAAACATCAAAACTAACAAGCATATGAACTCTACGGTGCTGCTGTAGGGGGTGGGGCACATTGAAGCTACATCTATACCTTCTCCACAGGGTGCCTTTAAGTGAAATGCTACACTGAGGTGAGACGCTTTCTCTGAAACATTTAACCCCACTGTCCTAGTCCCGGTGAGGAGCTTACACAACCAGAAAAGAAAGAAAACAAAAATGGAGCAGGGAGAGAAAAGCACCCAATTCTCACTTTCAGCCGGATTTGCTCTGGCATCCGCTCAGCTTGGTATGTTAACACAACAGGATCGCAGTACCTGCGCCCTTCTTGCCTAGCATGTTTTCTCAGCTCAAATTCCTGCAAATAAAAAAAAGTCACTGAAGTTCTTGTTATGAAGCACTTTCTTAAACAGAAAGAAAAAAAACACATAAAAGGCAAATGCTAACCACTTACAGTTGCTAATCTCTTGTCCATCTCAGGGCCTGCTTTTTCTACTGCAGTCTTCTGAATAAAACAGCAGGCTAATTCACAATTGTCCTGAGCTAACTGAGCAGCTGCCTGATCCATCATTTCTCTTTGTTGTGGGGAAGCAGTCTATCGGAGGGAAGAGACAGAAAGAAAAAGATTTCAAGTTTTCTGTGAATAGACAACACAGAGAGGATAACAGGAAATGCAGTGCTTAGACAAATGAATTTCTCAAGTTCTGACTTTACTTATGACTCATTAGCTATGATCATGAAATAGACTAACAGTCATCTTCACCTGTCAGGTGAAAATGCCACTCACCCGAAACATTTTACTAGGTTGTTGAGAAGGTGGTGAACGATATGAAAACAGAAAAGCAGGAAACAAAGGTATTATTAACCATGACATCTGAGACCCAAGATTACTGAGTTACCTGGGGAGTGTGTGATTATGTGCGGAGACATACGAAGTCATGTTAAGTATTCTGTACTGTCCTACTCAAGTGCTTTAATCTAAATTCTTCAGGGGAAACAGAATCAAGGTTATTAGTGACTTACTCATTTTTTTTTCAATCCTTCATTTTTTTGTTAAATAATAAATATTTGGGTATATGGTATCCACTAAATACTGTGTTGAGGATACAATAATGAACAAAACCAGACATGATGCTTCACATCTCACAGAATTTACAATCTAACAGAAGACATCGAACAAACATGGTGACTATTAGAGTAAGTGGAAATGCAAAGCAAAAGAAACTCTTGTAGTACAGCAAGGAAATAATCAACTTACACGAAGGGCTGATGCAAAACTGTTTTTCAGGTTGGTAGATATGCTCATGAGCAAAGGTTCCCTGCAAGTAATCATAGCCATTCCAGCTGTCAAGTTGCGCATCATGTGATGAGCTGCTATTCGCATTCGAGATTCTTCAGAATCCAGGGCAAAATCCTTCCTGACTATTTGCTCACAAGTAGTCATGGCAATCTTAATTGATCGGTCCACCACAGGGTGGACCAGTTCCTGGACAGCCCGTTCAATTGCTTGACGCACACACTGTTTCAACTGTGGGTGGGCCTGAAACAAGGGAATCTAGGTGGGGAAAAACAAGTCAAGTCAACAGCTTATTTAAAACAGACAATCCAATTTCTATCAGTAATCACACCCATGATTTTGGAATTACTTCAAGGTTAACTAGTAACTACCATTTTCTATTGTGCTTTAACCAAAATAAAGCTCTGGAATTAGAAGTTGGGCTGTAAAGAGGGAGTATTTCAGTACACCTTGTGATTGATGCACTAATACATGTCTTTGATTTTTATTTTTTCTAATTCCAAGTTTAATGGGCAAATTGTTCATTACAAAATGCTTCACGACACACTACCTGCTTAGTTAAAACTTGTGACTCAAGTATGCTTAAAGAAAGTAACTACTTTAGTAGCTTGGGGAAATACAAAAAGAATCAAGTTTACAGAGAAGATGCTTTACACAAAAACTTTTGTTGCTAACAACTAATTTCTCAGACTAGCAAGCATTTTACATTTCGTACATTGAAGCCCTGTGCTTCACTTGAAAGACTGTTTCCAATCTTTTGTTATAATCTATGCCCTAATTATTCACTTGGTCTTTTTAACTTACTGAATTTCTAAGAAATTTTAAAAATATTCATGATAAACACATAAAAGTACTGATTCCTGGGAGTAATATAATATAAAGGGGAATCACAATTTCTAGATCTAGGTTTTTCCTTCAAAAACCAAATGCCGTATCTATGAAAACAAACAACAACAAAAAAAAGACCAGATTAAAATGATCTCTTTAAAATCATTTCAAGTCCTTGAAACACAAAGTGCAATGGATTGATATTACTCCTGTATTTCTGAACATTTTCAATTTTTTAAAAAGGAAAAACCATGAAAACTCCAAGTATCTGATTCTGAACTAAACAAATGTTAAATATAATAAAAGACGGAAGAGAATCAATTATCACTCTGAATACACACAGTAAAATACTACCTTTAAGTATAGGAAAAGGATTGATGAGAAGTTATTTTTAGACCAGACTACCTCCCAGAACCAAGCCACAGAGACATAACTTAAAAGTATGAATTCCCACTTCCAAGACCTTGACCTGGAGATGTTATATACACACGTGAATCAGCTCAGTTCCAGGTATCTGACAAAAGGAATGACTTAATACAACAAAGCTAAGGTGATATGATAATGAAAATAAAGAGCAAAAAGCTATGGTATAAGGGCCGGCCGAGTGGCTCAGTTGATTAAGAGCTCGCTCAAGAGTTTGAGCTCTGAGCAACAGCGGTTCGAGTCCAGCCCGAGCTGAGCAGCCGCTGAGCTACCAACAGGTAGCAGGATGGCTCAGCTAAAAAAAAAAAAAAAAGCTATGGTATACACTAGATCTCCTGGCCTGTGTAAGGAATTCTCGGAGATGGTGATTATATTGCCAGCTGTCTTGATTTTAATATCGTGGATTTGGATATGAGGAACCTATATAAATAATATCTAGTCACAATGACTATTTTTAGAGTAGAAAAAAATCCTAGCTGTGCTACATAGTAGTTGCCAATCCCAGCTCTCTGCCTACAACCTAGGAATCCAGAACGAAGGGGAAGAAGGGGAGCGGAGGTGACCAGTTACTAGTCCCAAAGTAGAAGCTGGGAAATAGTACGGTGTTGACTTACTGTTGGGTTTAGAGTAATGTGTGGAGCCAGGCCAGCAAGGGAATAGACATTGATGTCGTGGTAGCTGTACTGTGGCTGTGGTGGAACCGTGGCTGTACAGGTGGTGCTGGTAGCTGGTGTTGTAGACGTTGCTAAATATATATAAAGAGTTAAAATAAGAGCTAATAAAAGGAGCACATTTGTTGATTTTACTATAAAATGAGCAAGGTATCAAGCGGCCTTTACTTCATTAAACTAACCGGATTAGTGGGGTCGGGGGTATTAAAAGGGTGGCACATGTGATTTCTTCCCCACCCTGAATTATCATAGGGAAATTCTGTTATTTTAACAGAGATTTGAACAAAGCATGTCAAACTATGTTGGTGGCAGTGCCCACAGCATAGAAATCAATTGAGGGGTCATGCCACGTTAGCAGGCCCAAACCTTGTTGGATTTTTCTTTATTATAGATGTCTATTTTCAACCTAGGCTGTCCCCTGGTTTCACCTGGGGATTCTTAGCTAATGAGGTCTGAGAAAAAAAGAAAAGCTGGTTTATTCTAACCCTACCTCCTAATCATTTTTCAGCGTCCCTATAACCCCCATACTACCAATCCTCTTCTCCCAGGTAAATAATCCCCTCTCCCGGCAGGTCTAGCTGGTCTGGCCATCCCCAGATTTGAGAAATAACACAGTCTGTCACACGTCATGCAATTCTTTAAGATCTCAAACAATATAAAAGATAACCCGGCTTAATTAAGAATACAGTATGAATTACTAGATGGAGTCTAATACAGTAACACAATGCCTACATGTTGCTAACATTTCCTTAATAATTTAGAAGGCTCACCCAACAGTACAAAACGTTTCAGCACCATATAATGTAGAACAACTAAGGCTTGCTATATTCATAATATACTATTCAAGAGAACATTCTGGGTAAGCAGAGGGCTAGCTCGTTATCACACTCACTTGTGGTTGTGATGGGAGGGAGTTCTTCTGGCTGCTTGACATCTTTCTTTGGAGCAGAGAGCTGCTCATCTAAGTTCTTCAGGCGATCTTTATCTTTTAGGAGGTTTCCAGGTTTTAGCTCATTGATGTCTAATGCAAGGTTCTTGCAGAGGACCTCAATCTCAAACTTCAAGTTTAACTGCATAAATCCAATATTTGATTAGCATTTTTAAAATAAAAATTTAGCTTTATTCTTAATATACACTATTTCTCACCCAACTGCTACAGCGCTTCCCCTCAAATACTCTACATTCCCTGTAAATTTTAATGTGAAGGTAGACAATGATCCCATGAATAAAGAAGCAACAGACTTATTACCTTTAAATCATGTTCCTGGTGTAGTTCAGCTAATACATTCATAATTGCCATTGTCCAGGGGTTGGGCGGCCTAAAAACCTAAAGAAAAACTATTATGTTAAGCTGGCCCCAAAATCACTTTCATCTGTATTATTTAAAATAGTTATACTTACATGGCCATAACAAAATCACTAGCCTTCCCATCTGTATCACATTTCAGAAAAATATCAAAATCCAAAGCCACCTATTACAATCATCAGCCCTACAACTCTACTTAGCCTGTCACATTGGAAATCCAAATTTACCTGAGGAAAACTGACTGAACTAGCTCTATATTCATAAGAACTAAGGATATAATCTCTTCATCTTATGCTGAAATCAACTCTTACAAATTTAGCCATCAATAAAATAGTAAAAGCTACTCACCACACTACGAATGCTGGACTCTAAGACTTTGGCGACAAAGGGCACGACATAGAGCAATTCCTGCTGTCCTTTAACATAAGCCTCTAGCAGCAAAGACTTCACATCCAAGTCCTGGAATTTTAAAAAGGTACGTATTTTTAAAAGCTGGAAATAAACTTCAAAACCCCTCACAAAGTACCCCAAGAAAGAAATCTTTCCAAACTCATCCTCAAAATAGCCATCAATATACTATATGACCTCTGCCTTACAAAAAGGAAGTGGAGGGCTGACGGAGTGACGCGTTGGTTAATAGTTGGCTTGGGACACCAGCTCTGCGCAGCAGAGCCCCGGTTTGGATTCCACATTAGGGCCAGTGTTGCTGAGACTTCTACAGCTAAGATGGTGAACAACAGCTCAACCTGGAGTTGGGCTGCCATGAGTTGCCGGCAACGGTGTAGGCTGCAGTGGGCTCCGGTAAAGCAGCGGCCAGCAGCCGGCGTAAGATGCCAAGAGCCGCCATGAGCCTCACCCGGGAAGAGCACAATGATCACAATACCAACATGTGCCAGTGAAGCGATGTCCTCCACTACTAGACTGAAGAACAGAAGCACAGCAACTTCTCTGTTCCCCTTCCCCGATTCCTCAACGCTGTTCTCCTCCCCCAGTAAAATGTTTTTTGTTTTTTTTTTAAAAAAAGGGGGGCTGGCCGAGTGGCGCGATGGTTAAGAACTCGCTTGGGATGCCAGAGGGCCCCCGGTTCAGATCCCACATATGAGGGCCAGTGACACTGCCCTCCACAGCTAAGATGCTGAACAACAGCTCAACCTGGAGCTGGGCTGCTGTGAGTCGCCGGCGACGGCGTGGGCTGCAGTCCCTGTGGCAGTGGATTGCCATGGGCTACCGTGTGTGGCCAGCAGCCAGCGTGAGCGGCCAGCAGCCACAGTGAGCGGCCGTCCAGAAGCAAGCGACTGATCTGCCTCGCCCGGGAAGAGCGCAATGATGGTGCCAACTTGGGCCAGTGAAGCCACATCCTCCACAACTAGATTGAAGAACAAAATGACAGCAACTTATCTGTTCCCCTCTCCCCAATCCCCCAGCACTGTTCCCATCCCCCCAATTCCCCAATTAAAAAAAAAAAAAAAAAGGGAAGTGGTGACAAGCCTACCTCTCTAGCTTTCATTTATCCTGTTAAATGATATGGGACCCTAAGCGTGCAATTAGGGATTCAAAACATAGGCCAAACTCTTACGAACACCCAACAATCATTAAAATAGCCCAAAATAAAGTCAAGATTTTTAGACACAATATGCTGTATTAGACATTATATGAACATTCTCATCAACTTTTACATCAACCTTTAGCTGTAACTCACAGTGTGTAAGATGGGTTTATTTTTAGCTAGTGTGATCATTCCTAGCCAATGTCCCAAGTTCTTCAACAAAGAGCGATCTGAGAAATTAGCTGCAGCTTTATCAGAGGTCAGGAGCACCTGAAAAAGTGTACAATTAAGAAAGGTATGAAAATGAGCTTATGGAAAAAAAAAATCTCAACTAAATGTTTCAGAATTCCACTATCCTATGTTAAACAAGCTATCAGTTATGAGAACACGCTCCTCAAAAGTAGATCTACTCCAAGGGCCGGCCGAGTGGCTCAGTTGGTTAAGAGCTTGCTCAAGAGTTTGAGCTCTGAGCAACAGCGGTTTGAATCCAGCCCGAGCTGAGCAGCCGCTGAGCTGCCAACAGGTAGCGGGAGGGCCAGCTAAAAAAAAAAAAAAAAGAAGGATCTACTCCATACTATCATAGCACTCTTTTGTTGTGTTTAGTGACATTTTTAACCTTTACATATCTTTACATTTTATAGTAATATACTGACATCACACAAAATACAAAGTACACAAGATTAAATATTTATGTATGCTTCCACAGCAAAAAGTATTTTAAAATCCTGAAAACTTGAGCTAGTTTGATAGAGGCCTGCAAATCTATTTTGAGTAGCTAAATTCAATTCAAATGAAGACTATCCATGCTTCTAAGTCCTTCAAGACAGCAGGCATATGGAGATACATCATAACCAAGATCACAATATCTACTGCAAATTTTAGCAGTATCCAGGTCACTATACATCTCTGGAGACAAGATAACTTTCTGAGGTACAGTATAATATTGCATGTACACTTTTTTGTAAATCTCTAGAAAACCTAATCCATTTAATTCTCTAGTTCTTATGTTCCTAAGGGGGACACACACAACTATTATATACATCCATCTACTACATGGTATCTCTTAATTTATAAACTTAAATTTATAATTTAAAATTTTATTTAAAAGAAACCATGTTGAAATTTTGTTTCTGAGAATGTGGAAACTTTCATATATCCCAATCATTCTTGCTATCAGACAACAAAGGCTGAAGATAGTTATGTTCCTTCACTCCATAAAGCAACAGCAGAATGGCTCAAACTCAGCTGTGCAACAAAGAGCCAGGAATTCTTTTGCACTACAGCGTAACCTAGAATGGGGAAAATTCCCATCCATAGGTTTAAATATAGTGCTGGCTTCTAAGCCAATGTCCCAAGTTATTCAGCAAAGAATCATCACAGCTGTATGCTGGTTCACACTTTTTTTCTCAAAAAGTTATTCCCTCTAAGAAATAAAATGCTTGAATGTTATAGAATAAGCATTCACTCATTAGAAGAGTCTGACCTTAAACTGCTGAGAATCCTAAACAACAGCTAGTCTACAAATAGGTCTAGAATTGAGAGACATCCGGCACTTAAGACATACATGAAAAAACAATCACTGCAGCATTGTTTCTGTAATAGCGAAAGTTAATAACCTCAGTATCCATTAGCAATATGCATCCATACAATGGATTTCTGTGACTTAAAAAAAAAAAAAGACTAGAGCTAAGAGCACACTGAAAATAATACATGGCGGTGGAAAAAGCAAGTTAAAAACATGCAGAGAGAGGGTAAGGATTTAAAACCATGCATGGAATGAACTGGAATAGCTACTTTCAAAGTAAACAGTACATAGAATATGTCTATAATACTATTTGAAACAAACTCTAGAGCAACTTTCATAGATACCTAATATAGGCAACATGTAGGGAAAAACAGAAACCTCCAACCCCAAATTATCTGTAAAATCAAGTATTTCCAAACTCAAAACACAAAAAGAACAGAAATAAGGACAAAAACTAAATGTTACTTTGATGTTTCTGTAGGTCTCATTTAGAACCATCTTATTAAATTCAGGATTCTTCAGCGTGTCAAGGAAGTTTGAGTACAGGCTGTGAAAGTTTGGCTCAATGCTGACTCTCTTCATAACCAGGTATTGTGAAACCCACGGCATAAATTCTTCCTTCACAGTTTCCTTTAGTTCTTCAACCTAGGCAACCAATTTGACGAGGAAGTATACAATTAAAAGATAATAAAATATGGTTATGTATGTTGTTTCTGAGAACGATACTATAGCACATGGCTCCTTGCTAAATCACCATGCTATATCTCTCCTCACATCAGATGCTATGAAGAACAGTATGTTCAATTTCTATTAGTACAGAGTCAATTACCTCTCAAATGTGGGTGATAAGGACTGAAACATCTATGGTCACTTTCAACTTTAAAATTATAAAACATGTATCCCTCGCCCCCATCTTACCCAACTCTATTTGACCAAAAGAGGATAAATTACTAATCTACAACCAGCCACTAAAAGACCTAACACCAGCTATGTTTTCCTAAATTTCCACCTCTGGGAGTCATCTGTAAAGTTTGATTCTTCTTTCCAAAATTGATATTAAAGGCTTCAATTTCTCCCCCCCCCCCAATCAATTAGGGTGATATTTTAAAAGACAGTACTTGCATGTATTTCAAACCAACTCGTTTAAGCTCATCTTACTGGCTAAAACAGCAATTTCCAAGTATTGTCTTGGCATATCATCTTGTAAGTATCATTCCTTATGCTTTTCACAAGGTCTACCTCAGTTATTAGGCATCCAATAAATGCTCTGAATGGGCTCTAGGAGGGACATGAGTTGTGACTAGAAGTACAAATGAAGCCTTCCATCATCATGAGATCATGAACTTTATTTCAGAATGCCTGTAACTCACTGCACAATACATTTAAAACTAGCAGTACTTAACGTCTACAAAAACCACTAGTTGTATATCCATATTCCCTTCATTCTGATTCTAGTACCTCTACCTTTAAAGTGAAGTGAGTATTAAACAGGATGCATAACGTCAAACATAAATCCCCCAACCTACCAGGGTCAGAATAGAGAGCATTCCTAGTGATCTACAAACTATTACATCATGCTCACCTTTTGTGTCATATTCGACTGGGAGAGATTGTTGAAGATAAAAGCAATTTTCTCTTGAATATTTTCTGGGGGCTCTACAATTCTTTCAGTTTGGTCTGTAGCCACAAGCAATGTATCTATATTTGTAGTATTAATAGAAGGCTAAAGAAATAAAGCACATAAAATAAATTAAAATGCTTACTTGACAAATCCCAGGGGGAAAATGTATAGATTCCTTTAGTATAAAAAATACACATGGTGTGTATAATTGTGCACTGGAAGTGTTGGCAAGAATATATATTAAACTATTAACAGTGGCTGCCTTGGGGAAATTTGGGGAAGGAAGATACGAAGAGAAATGCTGGTCTTTTTATCTTTTTTTCAGTAGGCATGTGTTGTTATAAAACTAAACTAGGGCCAGCCGAGTGGCGCAATGGTTAAGAACTCGCTTGGGATGCCAGAGGGCCCCGGTTCGGATCCCACATATGAGGGCCAGTGACACTGCCCTCCACAGCTAAGATGCTGAACAACAGCTCAACCTGGAGTTGGGCTGCCATGAGTCGACGGCGACGGCGTAGGCTGCACTCCCTGTGGCAGTGGGTTGCCATGGGCTACCGTATGTAGCCAGCAGCCAGCGTGAGCGGCCAGCAGCCGCAGTGAGTGGCCAGCAGCCGCAGTGAGCGGCCGTCCAGAAGCCGGCGACTGATTTGCCTCGCCAGAGAAGAGCGCAATGATGGTGCCAACTTGGCCCAGTGAAGCAACAACCTCCACAACTAGATTGAAGAACAAAACGACAGCAACTTGTCTGTTCCCCTTTCCCCAATTCCCCAACACTGTTCCCATCCCCCCAATTCCCCAATAAAAATCTTTTAAAAAATAAAAATAATAATAATAATAAAAAACTAAACTACATGCTCACTAATGCCATGTCATTACAGCGTAACAACAAATCTTGGAAGAGAAACAATGATAGACCTACTTACTGGCACATCTTTCTTGAAGCTGACTCCAGTTGGCCTGGTGACTGTAACGGTTTTAGCAACAGTGGTGGTTGTGGAGGTGGTTACCATGGTGCTAACCTGGCCAGCAAGGGGCGCTTTCGCTGGAACCTGGGCCTGGGCCTGGGCCTGAGCCAGTGCAATACTTCCAGGGGTGGTGATAGAGCCCTGCATTTTCACAGGAGGATCTCTAGATTGCTGTCCATACTCAATATACTACAAGGGTAGGGAGAGGAAAACACATTGAAAGGGTTCTTCACAGAAACTGACATTTTTTAATTATATCCCCCTCACTTCTGAGAGGCTAGAAATCATTAGAGTGCTCCTGGTTCATCTATCTCCTTGACTCCTTGCCCCATCCTGGCCCATATTCCCCAATATATACATAAGTGGATACACCACAGGCTCTTTAGGGGCTAAATATTAGTATTTATGAAAGACCTAGTCTAAGCAAAATAACTTGCAAAAACGCAGCCACAAACACGTGCATATAAATCCCTTAATACAGGGATACTTTAATACATTTAACATTTATACAGCAAACTGATCTTTTCTACTGGAAGCTGATGAGAAACCTACTAAAAAACCACGCTGCGATGTGAGTGACCACTCAGTGAAGCTATTACTGCAAAGCAAAGCACACTGTACTACTGTACACTGCCCAGCCAGCTAGGGGATGAGAACTGATACTGGATGCTTGCGGACAGTTTGTTCTATTTCATCTCATAGACCAATAAACCTCGTTCCCACACACAAATTAGACTAACATAGGGGTCCAACAGTCTATGCCTGGCAGAACAAAAACTGTCTATATATTCTATAACTATTGAAAAATAGGCATTTCTGAGTGGGAAAGACCATCTCTGAAGACAGCAGTAGAGGCTCTTTACACTAAGAATAGAAATACCAACAATGACCTCTCCCCGCCGCCCTGTTTTGTGTGATCGCTTCCATTCCACCACTCTTGTTCTCCTGTCTTCCAAAGTCCGTATTCCTGGCTCTTCCAAATACACTGGATTGTAGTAAGCCTCTGATCTCACATCCAAGCTCTAAAACTCTGCTTTCCAGTATAGATCTCAGGACTATCGTTTTGGTCTAGTCCTCCCCAGTGCCCTCACGGAAGAGAACGCAATCCTGCCTCCCACTCCATGGTCTCCTAGGTTAAGCCATCACAATAGCCCTCCTACAAACAAACTGGGGGATGAGGTAGAAAGCACTGGACTAAATTATAATATAGAATTAAAAGTAGGTCAAATTTTGATCGGATTCCTTAAAATATGATGCTTACAAAGCCATTTATCTGCTCTTTGTAAAAATAAAGTTAAATATTAATCAACTTTCTTATTCTCTATAAGTTTTGACCAAAGGCAAGACAAAGGTATGAATGTTTACCAATAAACCTAAAATCAATTGCTAAAACAATGATATGGAAATTTCAAGAACAATCATGTAAGATAGTTTAAAATGTGTATTTTCTAGGTCCATCCCTCAGGAACTGCTTCCTTTTTAACAAATACCTCAAAGGAATCAAAGCAGTTGGTAAGGAGGCTATATTTTTAAGAAATAGTCTAGTCTTACATGAAATAGCTTTAAATCATACTTAAATCAGAGGAACAGCTTTACTTATTTTTATCCAAGGTTCCCATTCCAAATCCTTTTAAAATCAGACCAAGTTTTTCTCGGTAATAGTGAAAATTGTGTATTCCATAGCATTATCAGGTTATAAGGCCTTTTATTACATCAAGCAAAACCACTGCTTAGAAAAAAAATCCGAGAGTGACGTTTTTTTATGACTTATTAAGCTGCAAAATAAGCAAAAAATAATATGTATACCTATATCATGCCAATCATTAAAATCTTAATGCCATTCCCAGGGTCCAAAATAAAATTAAAATAGATAAATCCTCCAGCTACTTACCTCCTGTAAATGATGTGGAAACTGCATAAAGTGACTGATAGAAGCCAAGTGCTGACAATACTGGGGATAGTCCTTCAATCTGCCAATGAAAACATGCATTTATTATTTCACATAAGAACTGAGGCAGCACAATTAACAAAAATTTTCTTCCAAATGCTAGTCTAGGCCATTTCTCCCATTCTACCTATGAAATACCTCACTTGAAGCGAATACCAAAAGGAAGAACACAGAAGTAGAGAGGGGAAGTATTAATAAACTTCACTCCTTTTACATCAGAAAATAGTATTTTTTTTAAAAAGGTTCATCAATAGGTGAATGGAAAAACAATTTGTAATTAATCCATACAATAGGATAGTAGTCAGCAATAAAAAAAAAACTACTGAAACTACTCAAAAGCACCAATGTTAAGTGCAAGAAGGCAGGCTCATACACTTTGTATATGATTCAATTTAAATAACACTCTGGAAAAGCTAGAGCCAAATCAGATCAGTGATTGCCATGATTTGGAAGTGAGGGAAGGTAAACTTCGAAAGCGAAACAAGAGAACTACATGGGGGTGATAGATATCTTCAGTATCTTCATTGTGATTATGGTGGTTACACAACTGTATAAATTTGTCAAAATTCAAAGAACTGTACATCTAAAATGGTGACTTTCACTGTGTATAAAATAAACCTCAATAAAAAAACCCCGTTATCATACTTTTCCTACCACTTATTTGATAACTATAATTAATTAAATTGCTTTCACTTCTTCCTCTTCTACTTCATGCAGTCATTAAGATTAGTTAATATACCTATAATGATGGGACATGGCAAGAACCAGTTGATAAAGGATAGTTATTATTTTTCCTTATATTAACAAAGAGAAGCTTCATAAGAAACCTATCCACTCACCTATTTTTAAATCTATCTAGTGCAGCAATCCCGAAATAATACATTTTGGATCCAAAAGGCTTGCGTAAGGCTTCAAGAACATATCGCAGGGCCAGACCTAGTGCCATGTAAGTGACTAGTCCTTTTTCAATTATCCCACCAAACAGGCAGGCTGTTATATGTAACTCTTTATCAGGGTACTGGGGGAAAAACCGATATTCTTCAAACAAGTTCCGTAGCATACAATTAAATACTTCTCGTTCCCTCTTTATTGTCGAGTCTTTAAACCTCTGTAGCATTTCTAATACCTGGAGAAAACAAGACAAAAACAGTACATACATAAAGGAAACTTATTAAGAGCCTTCCTAAAATGCTCTTAATAGACTAAGCAGAATACTGAACAATAAACTGAGCTTGAGATAAATGTGAAGATTTCAAAGGATGCACAGACATATCAAAGCACTTTGAGCTAGATTTCTAAAACCTCTGAAAGGGGCATTTTAAGATTTACCTAAACCATAAATATTTCGATTATCCTAAACACTCACCTCATCAACAGACATGGTTGGATGTGGTGGGTGATTATATATTCTCTGGAAATAGCTGTTAGCTTCATCATCTATCTCTTTACTAAAGTGCTGATTTGCCTCTGGCCACACCTGAGACAAGTCCGCTGTTAGAAACAGAAAAGCAACGAGTGGGCATTTAGGCTCTTACTTCACTCCCCCATAAAACACCCAGAGAGCCAGAGAGACCAATAGTTTCAATTTTAAGAGGAAAAAAAAGAAACTGAAGCAAATATTAAGTGGTCAAGTTTCAATATTCAAGTGTTCTAGGTAAACATAAAGAATTTTAACAAAATTGCCTTACAACTACAGTTCTACTTTATATTTTCTTCATCAGGACCTTCATTACACCATGAAAGCCAAATGGTTCAAATTCACAGTGCACTTACCCTTATTACAACCTCACTCGAGGTTAACAAGTCTTTACTATATAATAAACATCACATTTAACAGATAAGAATCATCAATGCATGTGCATGACACACTGATGATAATAAACACAAAGCATGCTACAAAACATAACATTCAGACAAACCTTTCACACTAACATTTCCAACTCAACTGGTAGACTTTCAAATCTGATATAATAAATATTTAGTCCCAACAACAAGAAGGATATTTTAAGTCAATGATACATAGGTATCATTGTAAATACATAGGTATTTACAAAGAAGACTTCTCTGACTTTGAGACAATAAGTTACTAAAGAGGTGAACATTTAAAAATTGTTTAAGTTACATCACATATATGGCTTTATATATTACATATAATAAAGCTATGTATATCATAAAGCTAAAAACTTAAAATATAGTAATTAATTTTTTATAAGCTTACTAAGCTGCAACAAATCTGTCTACTCTTGATGTGTTAAAAACAACAACAAAAGTTTAGGGTAAGTATAAGATTTTCCTTTCTAAGTATAAGATTTTACTTTTCACTATACTTACTTTTAGGATAACACCCTTAAGGAGGCTATCTCTTATTAACTATCATTTTGTTCTGGCAATCCAGATCAAAGGTTGACAATACCTCAAATTTTTATTTTAATAACTCAAATTTGTCAATTTATTCCCACTGATCTAGGAGGCACATTAACGTATGGCCTTACTAACAATATATTAACGTAAGTCAATGTTTTTGTCCGTATAACTAACAGGGACAACAAACTGGACACATAATCAAAAAGTTTTCTGTGCATCAGTCACACTTCACAATCACAGACAACACTACCACTTACAAGGTTTCATCTTACTCTGCTGGAATGTAGGCTGGTTCAGTCCAGAGGTGCCCAGTTTCCTCTGTACAAAAGGATCGTTATTCACTGCAGGGAGTCCAAGAGCCCCAGTTCCTATACCAGGCAGGCTGCCTGTGCCAAGACCACCTACTAGAAAGAACGAAGCAGCCAGATGTCTTGACTTTATTCACATTAAATCTCTTATAATGTCTTTTTAATTTTATAGAGAATCTAAACTGATAAGAGTACATGAAAACAATATCAAAATTTCTTTAGCATTTAGAATTACTCGTTTATGTTCTTGATAAGATATTCATATGCAAAATTTTAACTGTACATTCTCATATGTGATATCAGGTAGTCAAAATAACAGGAACTGGGCTTGCTTTCCTCAGTGACAAAAACTGAAGAATGTCATGCTACTATCTTCTAAGTCAGCATGAGTCAGGACTTCTTACTCCTGCTAACTCTAACAAAGACAATCTTACAATAGTTAGGATTCTGCTAAGAAGGCCTTTCTAAGTAGAGTAAATATGGCTTACATAAACAATCAGGGCTAGAATCATACAGCAGCAGTTTTAACTAGGTTACAGAGTCAATACAACCCGAACTCCTTAGGTTTTAATACTCTAAACTTATACTCTGAAAATAAAAGGTGCAGATAGCTTAGAAGAACCAGATGGGTCCAAAGAGGGGAGCAAGGCAGGGCGCAAAGTAACCTTTACTTCGATATCAAGTAAAGACCAAAATATTTGTAAAAACTGGCAACTTTTAGAGATTTACTAAGTGAAGTGCAGTGAAGCAGAACATACACCTGAATCTGATATGTAAGGTATTTTCTACCTTTACTATACCAACCTTGAGTAATTCATAAAGCTGTGAGTTCCTGATCTAAGCCTAAGTCCTTCAGAATTTGTGATTAACACACTTATTACTGTTTATATTATCATTTGGTAATACAGAATCCTTACTGAATAATTCAACTAACTTTACATTACAGAAACTCCTAATCCCTTACCATACACCAAGGCACAATGAAAATTACAAATAATTGGCACCCCCCACCCACACCTTTACCTGGAAGCTGTGATGAAAGTCCTCCAATTCCACTGAATGCAGTTGTTTGGTTTGGGGTAGAAAGGGGTGGAAATGCTTTTGCTGGTGACTGAGGGGTACTGAATGCAGAACCCAAATTTGGAGGAAAACCCTGCATACTCTGGGTGTGAGGGGCAGCTGAACCACCTATACTAAGAGATGCCATTCCAGCAAGAGGGTCAATCTAAAGAAAAACATTATAAAAATGTATTAAACATACTTCAAGCAAAGACAGCTATGTGGTACAGGTAAAGCAATCTTTAGCAATAGCTCTTCATATGCTTAGTAAGTAAACTGCAAACACCCCACACAATCATGATGATGCTTAAATCCCCAAATCAAGTAAGTCTAGAGTGCTAGTCTTTTTTTCTTACTATTATCACAGATGGAGTCGATTTAAAGAGTTAGGCTCTGCTAAAGTAGCAGAGCCATATTAGGGGTATAAAACTTCAAAAATAACATTTAAGATGAATTGTCCTGCACCTGTAATACTAAGCATTTAGTAGTGACATGGGACACTTACTAGGTCCTTAAAATTTCCAATAAGCCCCTTTAAAACAAAAAGAATCTCTCAAACTTATTTAGCTTTCAACACAATAAAAGCATTCGAAATTAGACCTAAATCCTCCAGTCAAAACAAGTAAATCTAGTCAAAATCTGAAAATCTTGGGTGTTGGAGATTAGATCTAGTTTAATAAAAAACAAAAAACAAGGTATGCTATTCACCAATGTTTTTAAAGATATCTAATTAACTGCAATCCAAGCTTCTTAGTTTGTGGCATTATTTCAGATCTTCATGGCTGTAAAAAATGATACGTAAAATGTCTTTTATAAAGTAGCCACTGAAGAATCACCAAATGCTCTTTTCTTAAACCCCAATCTGCCATTCGATGCAGCTGAAAACAGAAGCGGAATATGTTGCTCCCAGAAAGAAGGGGTGGTTGATGTCAGGGAGTAACTTAAATGTACCTTGTTTTTAAAAGAGCAGTTCAGTTGAGAGCTGAAGAGCCCCAGTTATAACAAGTCCTTATGCTCTAGCACTGCTGCTTGGCCCGTGAAGCTACAAACAAGACACATCAGGTTCAAAGGCAGTGCATATTTCTTGGTCTAAGTTTTTCTTATTTTAAAAAGAAGCCCTTATTATTTACCTAAATAAGTTTTAAATCTTGTCCTCTCAGAGTCATGTTCTATTTAATGATGAAAATCTATTCTCAACTACAATGCCTATTTATGGATCTCCTCTAAAATGCAGCAGTGGACGCAAGACATGCAGTTATCTAAAATGTAGTAAATTCAAACAAATTTTCCATTGAGTAGGCTGCTAATGATGATGTAGAAGTTTATTCTATTCCACGTCTATGAACAAATGCAGTTGCAGTGTTCATTTACCTGAACAGGAGAAATGGCATCTAAGCTGCTAGCACTAGGAGGGCGTCCCTTTGGCATAACTCCAGGTGGCGGCTGTCTGGCTTTATTCATAACATTACTGCAATTGGCTACCATGGTAAGGATGGTTTCTGATAACTCCTGAGATACACTCCTAAAGGGAAAAGAAAAGTGAAAATTATTACTTGTTATTCCCTAGCACACCTAAATAAACAAATCTGATTCTTTAGAAAATATGCCAGAACATATGGCTAAATCTCCACTACATCCCATGTCTTTGCATCTGTCATTAATCACTAGGATTTCTGAGCATTGGCTTTCTCTTGAAAGTATCTAATTTACACCTACCTCTGAAACTAAACTTCGTACACAGTATAACCTATATATTTTAAAATACTCCAAGAAACAATCCATGTCCGTAACTACTTTGTCAAAAATGATGCCCAAACGTTAACATATCAAAGCAAACAGGTAAGCAACTTTTATACTAGTTTCTCATTGTCAAAGATAAAACATGTATTTAAGTATAGGTAAAAATACCACAGGCATAACCAATACCTACATTTGGCAAGCACACAGAAAAGTGACTGACTTCTAAAATGTCAAGTACTACGATAAATGTTTAACGGAAAAACCCAACTTCCTATCTTAGGATATTATTGCCTCATAAAACTGTGGAACACTTTGTACTCATGAACTCTACACCAACTTGATACTGTCTTAGATCTTTCCTCCTAAATTCAAAATCTTACTGCTGGCATTAAGACATAAAAGTAGTCACTTAGACAAGACAGTTTTCACATTTCATAGGTGGAAATTCAAAGCCATAACCCCCCCCCCAATTAAAAAGAAAAATCTCAAAAAATTTAACCTTCCACCTTGACCAATTTTTTAAAGTTCAAACTAATAAAATTTAGAGCTGAAATAAATGAAATGGAGAACAGAAAAACAAAAGAAAAGCAAAACCATAAGTTGGTTCTTTGAAAAGGTGAACAAAAACTGACAAATATTTAGCTACACCAAGAGACACACCCAAATTACTAAAATTGAAAGAGGACATTACTATCAGCCTTACAGAAAAAGATTATAAGGATATAACACAATTTATATGCCAGCAAATTAGATAACCTAGAAGAAATGGACAAATTCCTAGAAAGACACAAACTACCAAAACTGACTCAAGAAGAAACAGAAAATCAGAATTGACCTATTAACAAGTAGATACATTGAATTAGTAGTCAAAAATGGATTTTTTATTTTTTTTTAGGAGACAATTCAAGAGGGAAAGATCAGCTTTTCAACAGGTGGTGTTGGGACAACTGGATATCCACATGCAAAATAATGTAACTAGAAACCTATTACACACCATATACAAAAAATTAACTCAAGGGTGGGCCGAGTGGCTCAGGTGGTTAAGAGCTCCCTCAGGAGTGTAGGTCTGAGCAACAGGATCACCAGTTCGATTCCCGGCCCAAGCTGAGCTGCCGCTGAGCTTCCAACAGGCGGCAGGATGGCTCAGCTAAAAAAAAGTTAACTCAAATGGATCTAATATGTATTTTATGTAGTACAGTACTTTGAACTTAAAAACCATTGGATTATCTAAGCTGCTGATGCTGTTAATCATTCAATTTCTCTTTCCCAAATCAACATATAATCCAATTCCAACATTAAATGGTCATTTTCAAGCATGCTCGTCCTACCCTGCACAAGCTTGTAAACAGGCCAACATTGTCGCCAGAGTTTCTGGAGGAAGTTGAGCACTTTTGGGCTGATCTTTCTCTGGGGCAAGTCCACCCAAAATAGAAGGGCACCGTCTCTTTAAAAAAGTCATGCATGCCTGGATAAAAGGCTCCTGAAAAAGAGAAAAGTTTCTCAGTGTATTTGAAATGGATCTTAACTACTTTCAGATTAAAGATAAATTGATTTCAGATTAAAGACTAAGTACTGTGACTAAAATTCAGAATATAACATCATCTTCACTGACATTTAAAAGGGTTGTTTTTCTTTAGGTATTTTAGCCATCGATATTTAAAATCAGTGATAAATAAACCGACAAATCCTGCTTACTCCATGCTCTCGGATTTTATCTGTGAGCCACTTGTCAAGTTTGAGGTATTCACGACGTGAAGCAAGTGCAGCAAGGTCAATAACAAAGGCAAATGGAGTACCATTTAGCAGCATTGACAAGGCCTAAAGAAAAAGAACATTAGAAACTACAAGTCAAACAATTAAGTAATTTTCTATTTCCTGCTTTTATTTCCACAAACAAGTCTAAATAAAATATTCTGCTAATATTTTCTTCCTCATAATTTTTTAAACAACTTAATCCTTCAATGGTAACATCAGTCCTTACTTAAAATAACGTGAACATTTCAACCTGACTTTACCTTCAAAATAAACTTTACCCTGTGCTTTTTCAAATAACTAACTAAACCTGAAGCAAAACACATGAAAGCATGAAAAATAATCCTTACCCATTTTTTCAAATCTATACTCAGGCTTATTTTAACCTCAGCAAAGCTGTAACGCCAGTCCTATGCCCCTAGTGACCAAAGGCATCAAGAGTTGAACTATCTGTTAATAACGCTAATGAAATTTGCCAAAGGGTCGAAACCCAAGCAGTTTTCCAAAAATTTTCTCTCAGATTACATCTGAGAAGAGTGAATTATGACTTGCTCTGAAATAAAATAGTCTTTGCAAATACCATAGAAAACCAAATACAATTCAATCAAATGTAAATTAATTTTGACACTTAGGTATTTTTACATATTTAAAACCACTCTGCTTCCAATCCCTTTCTACTTACAAGACAAAATTCTTATCTCAACTCATTTTACCTAAAAGCTAGTTACACGTGAATTATTCCTAAGGCCATCTTTATTACATAAAAATGTTATTTTTAAATTAATACATAAAAGTGTTATTCTGTCACTCTAAGTTCACCTTCAAGTCCTGGGCCACGTCAAGTATTCGAGACAATTTGGCCTGGTCATACTGCTCCCCTCGCATGTACCATTCTGCCATTGCATGCATGATAAGTTGGCGGATTGAGGGAGACTGTCCCTAAGAAAAGAAGGAAAAATCCTGAACATTTTCATAGGCACTATCACAAATGCCCAGATAATGTTAGTTATTTTTATGTAAAATTGAGGCCTGTCAGTGAAGACATTAAGTACTAGGCTTAAGGAGTGATTACAGTGACATTCTTTTTGGGAAAGCAGTTATTTCCACATCTTGCAAATGAAGCCTGCCCTTAAACTGTGGGCCATATAGTCATTAAACAAATTTGTCTTGTACAACTTTGCCTATGCATTTTCAAACACAAAATTAGAATAGAATATGATGTGAACATAAGGGTACATCAAGATTACATAATTCCTTAAAATTAAGTTACAAATTACTGGTCTAGAAATAAAAACAAAACAGTTTAAGGTAATCATCTCTCATGTTTCATGGTGTAGTGCTGTATCACTATTTCTAGGAGTGGTGTTTGTGCTTTCTCAGTCTAGCTATTCTCACAAGTGAGAAATGTTGTTCTTATTTTACAATTATTCAGTTTCTTTTTTTAACCAGAAAACATGCTGGCATTGAGGACTGATCTAAAGGCTTGCAGTTGAATGATCTAAACAAATAGTTGGAATTTAGTGGTTATTTCTCATACAAGCAGTGGCAAAGCAATTACTACTGCTGTATTCAATCACTTTCCAGAAACTGTCCTCCAGTGAAAGAAGGCCCAATGAAAAAGTATTTAGCCAGAAGTGAGGAGAGGGAGCTCCTTTCAGGGGACCCTTTCTACACCTCATAGCTGTAGTAGTGAGAAAGGCATACAAATGTCTGCGATGCAAACTTTTGGTTAAATGTTTGGTAAACATTCTGTAAACTGTAAGTCTTCCACATAATTTGAGTCTAAAAATGGAGGAGAGCTGACTAAATGACATGGAATTTGTTTCATTTAGAAATACTCTAATCTGATTTTTTTAAAAAAAAAAACACTTGTATTAATGTAAACTGCTATAAAAATGACTGAAGAAAAAAAGTAGCCCAAAAAGGCACTTGATGTAAAGGGGAAGATGACTGCTTTTTCTTAAACCTTCTACATTTGTCATTAAAAATGTAGGCTATTAGGAGAAAAAAAATAAATCATTGGTCAAAAGAATATTTGCTTGTCAAATACATTTTACAACATTAGAGGGTGAAAAGTTCAAGGGTTCACTGAATGGTATTTCAGCAGAAACAAAAATAACATTTAAATGAACTTGAATAAAACAGAAAACAGTGCCCCTTAAATTGATTTGTGATCTCCCATTTACTGTTAAAAAGTGATAGGAGTGCCTTCTGGTTCCGTGATAAATGATTAAGCTCCTTACAGCTGTCAAAACAATACTGGAGGCCCAAATAATACAGAGATTTCATAATACAGTACTGAATTTTTAAAAAATTGTCTTACCTCCTTGCTCTTTTAATTTTATACTTTAAATACCACATGTTGCAAAAAGATAAAATAAGCTTTGTCGAAGTGTGACTTTTCCACACTGTCCTAATTCCAAGATTGACAATTTCTCACTGAACATCCTCCAATAAAGAGATGGGGCCGGCCGAGTGGCTCAGTTGGTTAAGAGCTCGCTCAAGAGTTTGAGCTCTAAGCAACAGCAGTTCGAGCCCAGCCCGAGCTGAGCAGCCACTGAGCTGCCAACAGGTAGCAGCAGGATGGCTCAGCTAAAAAAAAAAGAAAGAAAAAAAAGAAAAGATGATCATGTCTTACCTGTCCATGCCATGCATAGTGCAAAATAATAGCAGAGTTCGGATGGTTTCCGAGGAAAATTGGCATCAGAGTAGAGATGAGTTCATGGCGCAAGGTGTGCCAGGAGGTGTTGATCTGTAGTAAGGCCAATACCAGCATGTCTGGACAGTGTTTGATAGGAAAGCTGAAGAGCTGTTTGACTTGCTCATATTGCCCCACCTCTGCGAGCCTCAGTAGAGATTCAATCAAATCCAAGCTCTTCCTAACAAGAATGAAAGTAAGATACTCCATCAATGAACACCTAAGTATACAAAATTCACTTTCCAAATAAGTGATATCAGGTATCAGGATAAAACCAAGTTGCTGTCATCTTTTAATATTTAAAAAACATTTAAATTGGTACTGTTCATTTCAAAAATACATGCTTCTACATTATCAATTTCAAAGGTAGTCCAAATTAACAGAAGTGATGAAAGAGAGGGGACACCACTGTCTATATGCATAATCACTGATCCTCCTTAACCAAAGATATTAAATATTTTCATGATTAGTAAAAAGTAAAAAAAAATAATAATAACAACATCACAGAGTTTAGGTATAATAAAAACTCCAATATAAAAATTTATTCACAAGAAAAATTCCACACAAAAATACAGCCTGAACACTTTCTTTGGTTAATGCAAAGCTATAACCTAGGTGACTCCTAATGTCATGCAAGTTCAGGAGTCCACAGCACCCCCTATAAATTATTCTTACCCCAAAAAGCTAAATGTGGCTCACTTTAATCAAGCCTCAAGACCTTATTCTACCCTTAGTTCTTGGAAGCTATGGGGACAGAGATCAAATTAAACCCCATGAGGAAACAGATACCTCATACCATGGGGCAGACTAGAGGATAAATGATCCTAGTCCTCCTCAAATCATAAAAAATTGTACTTAAAAAAAGGAGGGAGAAGGAAAACGTATAGAATAAAAGAAACTGCATGGACCTTTTGTCCAGACTCTTAATCATTCAAAACGTTGAAAAGACATTTTTAAGACAATCAGGGAAACTTAAAAGTATAGCTGTATAAAGAAATTGTTAAATGTGATATGACTTTGTTTTATAAATGGAAAGAGGCCTTTATATGTTAAAATAAAATGAAGAAGATACACTGCTATACACATTAGACTTAACAGGGAAAAGAAAAAAAATCAACCAAGCCTGCAGATTCAACGTTAGCTAGCAGCTGGGAGAAGGACACACTTTAGAACAAATCACTGCTTAGGTCAATCTTTCAAAACAGGGATCAGCAAGGCAAATCCCACCCACTGCCTATTTTTGTTAATAATGTTTTGTTGGAACAGAACCACACCCATATTTATATTGTGCTATAATAAAGAGTTATGTAGTTGCTACAGAGACCATCTGGAAGGCAAAGCCAGGTGTTAACTATCCCTTTACAGGAAGTTTACTATCTCTTATTTTAGAAGCACTGGTAATATCCAAAGGGCTTTAAACTGCCTTAAACTACCACCTGTGGCCAGAAAAATAAAAACAATAGTCTCCTACACGTCACACAAGTGTCCCAGCAGAGTATACTTGGGAAAAAATGAAACATTATAAAGTAGATGCCTTTGGGGAACAATCCAGTCCATGCCCCCTCCCTACAGCCATGTGTGCATCTCAACAGTAATGGAAGGACTTTCACCATCCTTACCTCACATCCCCAGAGAAGTGATTAGAGTTCCATGAGAAACCTACTGGGCCAGAGTCAGATTCTCCCTCAGAACCTTGGGATTGGAAGTCTGAGAACCTAGGTAATTTGGCTGAAAGTATTAGATTTGATGGGTTGGCCATCTTGAGCTACTCACAAAAAAAAAAAAAAAAGAAAGAAAAAGAAAAAGAAAGCCAATCTACAGAGAAGAAAGTGATCTAACACTAAGAGAGACGTACAAACTTCCTTCCAATGTTGACAGTTTCCGAAAATATCCAATGAAAGACCTTACAAGAGGAGAGATTTAACTATCTAGTGATAAGGAGACTAAAAATAGATGGTTTATCCACCAATACCCCTCTAAAAATTTAAGGTAACCAGGCTCACTAAAAATCATTTCATTTAAACTATTTAATGATGTAATTTCTCAGTATTAACTTTATGTTTCAAAAAAGTGTAAGTTACCCTTTCAAGAAAAGCTACATGAGAGTGCTTACCATGTGGCAATTTCTCGATTGTCATCCTCGGGTGGTGCTTTCAGAATATCAGTGGCAACAGCATGACAGGGATAGTCAGCAAAACAGAAGATCTCTGGATTTATAAGGGAATGCTGAATAAAGGAGAGCTGGAACAAGAAAAAAAGTCCTTACCACCAAAACTACAAATGCTATGAAAATCTGAAACATTTTCTTTCATTAGGCTAATTGCAATCATCAGTTATTAGAATAACAATTTCCCTTTAAAATCTTAATTACTTATTCTTTCAAAACCACAGACAATTCAGACAGATGAAAGGTATATATAATGAGATGGCCTTGGAGACAAACATCAATAAACAGTTTGATTACTATACTTCATCTGAGTCTGACTAATACTAAACTATGATATATTCCTTCAAAATTAATGAGTTTCGGGGCCGGCTGAGTAAGAGCTGGCTTGGGACACCAGAGGACCCCGGTTCAGATCTCACATATGAGGGTCAGTGACACTGCCCTCTACAGCTAAGATGCTGAACAACAGCTCAACCTGGAGCTGGGCTGCCATGAGTAGCCAGCAGCTGCCGTAGGCTGCAGCTCCTGCTGCAGTGGTTGCCATGGGCTACCGTGTGCAGCCAGCAGCCAGCGTGAGTGGCCAGCAGCCAGCAGCCGCCGTGAGCGGCCGTCCAGAAGCCAGTGACTGATCTGCCTTGCCCGGGAAGAGTGCAATGACGGTGCCAACTTGGGCCAGTGAAGCAACATGCTCCACAACTAGACTGAAGAATAGAAGGACAGCAACTTGTCTGTTCCCCTTCCCCGATTCCCCAATGCTGTTCCCCTCCCCCGACTCCCCAATAAAAAAATCTTAAAAAAAAA